TCGGCCCCGATCCGTGGTCGCCCCCGCCCCGGCGCGGGGGAGTCTGTTGTGCTTGCACAGCAGCTGGTTCCCCTCCCCGGTGCGGCTGAGGATCCCCCATTGGATGCGGACGGGAGGAGGCTCGTGCGTGCACCCAGCCCCGGGGAGAAGCGGGGAGCACAGAGCTGGGTCGAGTTCCCCCGCCAGAGCGGACACGGCGCCGCACCTCGGGCTCCCTGCTCCTCGGGGCGCCCAGGTCCAACGTGGGGTCACGGGGCGCCCGTTTTTGTTTGCTGCGGGAGCTGAAAGTGCAGGAGGTGTTTAGACACCAAGTAACAGGTGGGACTTGTAGAATTTTTTTTTTTTTTTTCTGTTTCCGTAGAGACCTACTCTGAACAAGGCAGCAATGCATGGCGGGACGTGTAGTTTGCCCGGCCTTGACTTTTCCGTAGTTAAAGTGATGGTGGTGGCCTCAAGAAGTTGTACTTAGGGGATAAACCCCCCGCCCCCCCTTTCTAAATTTGCTATAACGAGATTTAGAGGTAGGTTTTTAAAAAATAGGACTGTTTAGGATTAGTGAGAAGTTTTATGAAAAAAATTTAAAGTGTGTGTATACGGGTGGAAGTGAGGATGCAGCAGGAAAGTAACAGGACCTGAAACAGCCTGTTAGCGCTGGGAAGTGAGAAGGTGTGGGGGCATTATCTCTAATGGTGGATCCTGTCGGTAATACTTGGACAACGTGGGGAACCCTTCTCAGTGAGCCTTTTATTATGTGATTGGTTTCTTTTTGAATGAGATGTTTCGGGATAGAAAAGTAATAAATGTTCACTCTGGGAAATTTGTGAAGATTATAGAAACCTATAAAGAAGAAAATTTTAAAAAATCACCTATTTCACCCCTCGGCTATATCTGTTAACATTTTGGTATATGTTAGGCCAGGGGTCGATGAGTCTTACACTGTTTCAGCTGGACATGTGAAAAAGTAAATAAAAGCCCATTTTATTTATTGAGTGTTTTTACATACAGTTTGTCTTCATAATTGTGACTGCTGGTAGTTACCCTCTAAAAGATTTAAAACATTCTATAGAAATGATTTTCTTGGTGGTCTGGAAATTGCCCCTTGGCGGAAGACTGTTATACTTTTTTCTACTTGATGAATACCTCAAGACCTCTTCCTTTTATTAAAAGGAGGACGGTAAATTTTAATTGTAAACTTTAACTATTAGATAAGCAGACCCTCACCCTAGTTATGTTAATTAATTTTGTCTCTAGAATCTTAGTATTTTTTGAAGTATTATTTCTTTGGATGAAATAGTCTAATCATTGGGAGATTTGTGACAAATAGGAAAAATTTGTTTACATCTGTTTATATTTACCTGTAATGAATTAGTATGTTTATTTATAACTAGAGGCCTGGTGCACGTTGGAGGGGGTCCCTCAGTCCGGGAGCCTTTGGGGGGATGTCCAGCTACCGGCTTAGGCCCACTCCCTGTGGTGAGCGGGCCTAAGCTGGCAGTTGGACAGCCTTAGCGCTGCCACGGAGGTGGGAGAGGCTCCTGTCACGGCCGCTGTGCTCACCAGCCGTCAGCCCGGCCCAGGGCTTCTGGCTGAGTGGTGCTCCCTCTGTGGGAGCGCACTGACCACCAGGGGGCAGCTTCTGTGTTGAGCGTCTGCCCCCTGGTGGTCAGTGTGCATCATAGCAATCGGTCATTCCAATTTGCATATTAGCTTTTTATTATATAGGATAAACATTTCAAGCTCTAGCTAGCTGTGTGAAAATAGTATTTTAAAGATGGAAAGACTAGTTTTTGTTTCTTAAAATGTTTTTATTGATTTTGGAGAGAGAGGAAAGGAGAGGGAGAGAGAGAGAGAGAGAGAGAAACATCAATGAGAGATCATCTGCTTCAAGAACACCCCCCACTGGGGATCCAGCCCACAACTGGGTCATGTGCTCTGACCGGAAACCAACCACAGGACAACTCCTAGTCCACTGAGCCACAAGGACTGGGCAAGACTAGTAATTAATAGAGTTCTAAGTGAGTTCTTGAAGGGATCAGTGTATTAGTGGTTTGGTGTCTTTATTTTATTCTGGTAAATGTATAAGGCTTCAGTCTAAGTAAAAATGAATTTTAGAAAGAGAATAGCACTAAGACTTTTTTTCTAGTAGCCAAAATCTAGAAAATAACATACCCTTTTTGGTTTGTTTTATCATCTATAAAGTGAGGAATTAAAGTAAACCTCAGTGCTCAAAAGGTTTCTGCTTGTATGAAGTTTAGAAGTAAATGTAAGAGGAATAAACAAAAGTAGATCTTTAATATTTTAGACTGTAGAATGAGATCAGAGAATTGGTGATTTAACAAATGGAAGTAACTTTGACCTAAATTAAGAAATAGTGCCCTGGCAGAGTAGCTCAGTTGGTTAGAGCATCCTCCTGATATGCCAAGGTTTTGGGTTCATTCTTGTTAGGGAACACACAAGAAGCAACCAATGAATGGATAAATAAGTGGAACAATAAATCGATGTTTCTCTCTCCCTCCTCCCTCCCTCCTTTTCTCTCTAAGATCACTAAAAAAAAAAGGGTGCATCTGTAATAATAAAAACATAATATGCTAATTAGGCTGGACGTCCTACCGGATGACCTTCCAGATGAAGCCGGGGCTGTGAGGGAAGCCCGGGTCCTGGGTGCCAAAGGGAAGCCAGTGCCAGCAGCCAGGGGAAGGAAGGCCTACTCTTGCATGAATTTCGTGCACCGGGCCTCTAGTATATTTATAAGATCAAGAAAACTAGGAGAAGTAAATTTTTTTTTAAAATCCTCATTTGAAGACATGCTTAGAGAAAGAGAAACATCCATGTAAGAGAGAAACATCAATTGATTGCCTTCTATACATTCCCTGACCAGGGATGGACCCCCACCCCCACCCCCCTGCCACACCCCGTATGTGCCCTGACCAGGAATCAAACCAGGCAACCTTTCGGTGCAAAGGATGATGCTTAACCAACTGAGTTACTCTGGCCAGGCAGGAGAAGTCAGTTTTAAACTTATTTTATATCATTACGGTCAAATATTCTAGGAACAGAGTTTCAGCAAGGATGTAATAAAATTATTTATGAATACAGGCAGTATCTGCTTCTTATCTTATTGTGTTCTTGGTACCTATATTGTAGAGCTGTCCTGTTTTAGGGAGCACTATTAAAATAGGGTTGTATTCCTAATCAATAATGAAGCAACAGATAAAATTATTCAATCATTTATGTACGTACATGATATGGGTGTGTATGTGGGTATATGAGAGCTACATGGGTTGATGTAAGGTTGCTATGAACAATCTAAAGAAAATAGCCCGGCTGGTGTAACTCAGTGGTTGAGCATCGACTTATGAACCACACCAGGAGGTCATGGTTTGATTTCCGGTCAGGGCACATGCCCAGGTTGTGGGCTCCATTCCCAGTGTGGGGCATGCAGGAGGCATCCAGTCGATGATTCTGCCTCATCATTGATGTTTCTGTCTCTATCTCTCCTTCTCCCTTCCTCTTTGAAATCAATAAAAAAAATAAAGTAATAAGTTTCATAACTATTATATAATAGCAAAATCATGCCATTTTGCCAAAAGGCTGAGTAAGTGTATAGACGGTTCCAGTAACTAAGGACACTAGATAGAGGGAGTCTCCCTGCTGATCTTATTTCAATTTGTATTATAAAAATACACTATTATAAAATGCATTATTCAGGTGAGAGATCTGTAGAATAGTGTTTGCTGCAATTTAAATAGAAAAATTTATAGTAAGGCAGATATTGAGAACCATTGCACTTGACTCTAATATTCATTTATGCTTATTTAAAAAATGACATGGTATCATCTAAATATTTGATGACATTCCTGAGGAATTTAGCTGTTTTTGCAAAGCAGAGCTTTCAAAATAGTATAATATTGTTAAACTTGTTTCTTTTTTTTTTTACTTTTCTCTTGTCACCCACCACAACTAGGAAAGCATTAAAAGAGAAAACAACCTAAGAGGACAGATTTGTTGTGATTATAGGTGGAAGGGACAGAGACACAGACCTTAGACATGTACACTAGCGGTATCTTTGGGTATCTTTTGGGAGTAAAGTGGTCCAAGTATGATAAGTGAAGTATGGGTGTTAGAGTTGAGGAGCACAGCAGTCTGTAGTGTAGATCTGTAGCACATGGTTTGTAGACTGAAGAAAAAGTGGTGTTTTTTTTTTTTGGATGGCATTTATATAGACTTCATTTACATGTTAATATTATTTTGAATGTACATAGATTTTTTTCTTTATTTTTTTAAATTGCTTTCAGAGAGAAAGGGAGAGGGAGAGAGAGAGAGAAACATCAGTGATGAGAGAGGATCATTGGTCGGCTGCCTCCTGCACACCACCTACTGGGGATCAAGCCCCAAACCCCAGCATGTGCCCTTGACCAGAATTGAACCTGGGATTCTTCAGTCCACAGGCCAACACTCTATCCACTGAGCCAAACCAGTTAGGGCCATAGATTTTTATTTTTGTCATTTACCTAAAGTTATTTAATGTTGGGGAATAAGATGGAAGATAAGAAATTTCTGTTGAAGGAGTAAGACTTTTATGTAGGAAGTATAGAAAATGGAAAATAAAATTGATTTTAGAGAGAGGAAGGGGGGAGAGAGAGAGAAACATCCATCTGTTGCCTTCCACATGGGGATTACAATCTGGGTGTGTGCCCTTGACCGGAATTGAACCTGGGACCTTTCAGTCTGCAGGCTGACTCTATCCACTGAGTCAAACCAGCTAAGTCTTAAAAAA